ATTTGACAAATTTGCTAGAATGACTCAGAGAACTCAGGAAAACATGTACTTGTGCTTCCCAGTTTATGCCAAATGGGCAATGCATGGGGTCAGCGAAGTGTGGGGGAGGGGTGCAGAGCTTCTAGGTCCACTCTGGGCACATCATCTTCCCAGCACTTCAGTAATTTACTAATCTAAACGATCTTTGAATCTCTGTTGTTTAAGGTTTTTCTGGAGGCTTCATTACTGTGAGATAATAGAAAATATATATACATGGTCTCTGCTTGACACAGGGCTCATAAACCCTTGTAAATTCCTAAGTGGTAAGAGTGCCCGGAGCATCTTTTGTTCTCCTGCGAAGACTCTGGGTGGGCTCCTGGATGGGCTGGTCACTAGAAAGAACAATCCATGATTCGAAGCTTGGGATTTTTCAGCTCTGCCTTCCACTTCTCCCCAGGGGGAGTAGGGGCTGGAAATGATCAACCATACAGACAGGAGGAAGCTCCATGAAATCCTAATAGTAGGGGGTTCAGAGAGCTTCCAGGTCCGTAAACACAACCACAAACTAGGAGGGCGACTCACCCCAACTTCATGGTGACAGAAGCTCCTGCGCTCAGGACCCTCCCAGACCTCGCCCTGTGTACCTCCTCATCTATCTGGTCATCTGTGTCCTTTATCATAGCCTTTAACAAACTGGTAAATGTAAGTGATTGATTCCCTGAGTTCTGTGAGCTGCTCTAGCAAGTTAATCTCACCTGGGGAGGGGTCCTTGGAACCTCTGATCCATAGCTGGTTGGTCAGAAGCACAGGTGATAAATGGGCTTGTGGTTGGTATCTGAAGCACTGAGTGTGTATGTTTGTGGGAAGCAGTCTCCTGGGACTGAGCCTTTACCCTTTGGGATCTGACAGTCTTTACAAAGATGGTGTCAGAATTGAGTTAAAGTGCAGGACACTCAGCTAGAGTTGCAGAGAACTGCTTGGTGTGGAGAGAAACCCCCTCAGGTTTGGTGACCAAAGCAAAATGTTTTTTTTGTTTTTTTTGTGAGCAGTGAAGGTGCTTGCACAGGAGAGAAAGTCATAGTAGAGAAGAACTGGGGTTTTCCCTACACAGGAGGTAGAACTCTGAGTTTTTTCTTTACAATTACAGAGGCATAATTGCCTAACCCTTTGATGACTGGTGATGAGTCCATCTCCAGTCCCTCTAAACTCTGCAGAGGTGCTGAAAATTCCAAACTTCTAATCACATGGTTGATTCCCCTGAAACTAGCCCCCCATCTTTAGGGGCTTTCCAAAAGTTACCCCATTAAAATAAACTCAGGTGTTAAAACAAACAGTGCCCTTTTCACCTTTATCACTCATAATACTAAAATATTACAACAATCAATGCTCCCAGCCTCTTATTACTTAGGCAATTACAAAGGTTTCAGGGGCTCTGGCCAGGAGATGGGGATAAAACCCAATATATGTATTTCTTATTATACTTCAGTACCACAGGCATTGTTTCATTTAAGTCTGTGTTGTGGCCTCTGTCTACGAGCCCAGCAAAGCAGCAGCATCGCCAGGGACGTGCCAGCTCTGAGGGCAGGAAGCAAGCAGCCTGGCTGAGGGATGAGCAGGAAGGTGCTCTGTTTCTGGGCTGATTTTTTTGTGCTGGAAGTTGTAGTCACAATCCCTGGAAATGAGGCTAAATTCAATCAATAACCACATTATTTGTATTTCCTATTCTTTTACTGGTTAGCAACAGCAAGGATGGGAGCAAATGTTTACTTAGTGAATGTAAAAGGTTTGATTGAACAAAGCTGCTCCTTTTAACACTGTTGATATTTATTTGCTTTTACTTTTTAAAGTTATCAGAGACATTTCCCCAGAATGTCCTATGCTTGACTTGGTAAAGAGATTTTTACAGACTTAAAAATTCCTTTTTCTCTTAGATGAGTGATTGGTTAAACAATGATTCCACCCTACTTTAGTTCCCTAACATAGAGACATTTAAAAAATGCAAAATTGCATTTTAAACATTCTCTTTATTTTCTTAAAAGTTTAGTTATCTGATATATGAAAAATTATAAATATCTACATTCATTGCACACTAGAAATATGTTGTTACTTCTCTCTGCCTCCACAGTCATTTTACCTTTTCTTCTTTTCTGCCTTCCTCTTAGAAGGCATTTGTGATTGCATTTAAGGCCATCCAAATAATCCAGGATAATCTCCCTATTTCACAATCCTTATTATTCACATTTGAAAAATCCATTTCTGCCATCTAAAGTAACAGTCACAGGTTCCAGAGATTAGGATATTTCTGGGGCCATTATTTAGTTTACGACACTGTGTATTGAGTTGGTGTTAAAACATCCACACAGGGATTTTTCCAAGTTACTTTAAAACATATCAAATTTACTATAGGGTATTCCCTATGGACAGAAATAAATTTTTAACAAACCTTAAACTTTTCAGTAATATGTATTGTTTGTGGTAGGGTTATGGTTGTTCTGGGACTTGTTTATGTATTGTCTGATAAAGAAAATTAGTATTTATATTGGTAGCATTGAGAATTTGGGTTTTCAACATGGGTCAACAGAAATATAGATCTAAGACTGATGCATTAAAAAAAAATCTTGTTGTCCTGAATTTCAATTGGAAGCATCAGTTTGAATTGTACTCTGTTTGGAAAAGGCCTAAAAATACCACTATTCATGACTGATGAACATCTGTAGCACCTAGACTGTGGCCTCTAAATACCAATTTTCATTAAAAAGGACCAAGGGCTCCTTCAAGAAATGGTTAAAACCAGGTCTGGAGATGAAACTGCAAACGAGCCTGAATTCTGAACATTCAATTTTTGCTATTACAGAACTAGTTTTAAAAATGTAAGAAAGAAGTGTCACTATATTTTAAAAGCGTCTCTATCTTTAGACATGTATATACTGAAACGTTTACGAGTAGAGTAACATTACGCTGAGATTTACTTCATAATAACGGGCATGTGTGGGTGGCGAAAGTGTGCTGGGTGGCGGTACATTGGAAACGAGCTGGGATGACTGTTGAAGCCGGTCATCAGGTACTTGATTCATTTGCAGACCAATGAGAAGGCTGCTGCAACCTTCTTGGAAGGAGATGATGGTAATGGGGGCCAACGCCGCTACTGGAAGAAAGCCCATCAACAATTCCCTTCATCCTTGGAAGCCAAGCTCCCTAGAGTAGCTCAGTTGCTGTTCTGGAGGGTACCGGCTTCCGCTCCACCGCGCCAAGGTGCCTGCAGGGGCCAGGAGATGCGCTGGGCAGAGTCACAAAGTGCAGGGTGCGCCGGCGCGCCCAGGCCGCAGCTTGCAGTTCCAGAGAGCAGGGGCTTGTCTGGCCGGGCTTGGGGTCCCACGTCTAGGGCTGCAGAGCTGTAGGTTCTGAAGACTCCGGAGTCTGTTGCGTGAGGGGTAGCTCTTGCACCGTAGACCTTTTTGAACGAGCCGAACCCCTCCTGCCTGACACAAGCTGGGTCCTTTGGCCGTTCCCCTCACGTCCAGACTGCAAGCTGCCTCGGGGCGAGCTGGTAGGGTGTCACCCTGCCAGGTGGGGGGACAGGCAGCTTCTTGGAGGCAGGGGAAGTCGAGCATCGATGAGAAGTGGGGGCTACAAAGAGTTTCACAGTTAAGAGTGAAAAGGACTCACTTCCGAGCAGCTACATTCCCGGCGATGTTGTTGGAGTGAGCGATTAAAGTTAGGGAGCGGAGAGGGGTGTCGGTGTGACACGCGAGTTAGGAACACGGTGCTACCTTGACCACATTACCGGGTTTAACTTTTTGCTTCCTGTCTTCTCTATTTATAAGCCAGAACGTTCCCTGAATTCTCAGGGGGGAGTCTACACAAGAAAGGGCTCTTTGGGCAGAGGAAATATATCATGGGCCCTGAGCATCCCTACATGTTCGTGCTGGGTATGCTAAGAATGCAAGGTCTTAATCATTCTTTACCTAGGCCATTTCTTAGGTTTGTGTTTACAGCAGGGAAACATGGAAGGCAGTCTCCCTGGAACATAGACTATGCTTGCTTACTACTCAGTACAAAAGTAATGATTCCTTCAGGCTCAGGGTTGCCTTCCGGTACTGCAGCACTCTGTGCTGGATCTGGGCCCACCTATATCGCCCTCTTGTTGGGGGTTGAGGGGTGGGGTGGATAAGGATAATCGGCTTTATGTGAAGCCTGGATACTGCTTTTGTCATGAGAAATAAAAGTTCTTTGGCTCCTGGCTGGTGTAGCTCAGTGGATTGAGCACGGGCCTGTGAACCAGCCAATCGCGGTTCGATTCCCAGTCAGGGCACATTCCTGGGTTGCAGGCCGGTTCCCTGCAGGCCAATTCCCAGCAGGGGACACACAAAAGGCAACTCATACATTGATGTTTCTCTCCCTCTCTCCTTCCCTTTCCCTCTAAAGATAAATAAATAAAATCTTAAAAAAAGAGAAGAAGAAAAAAAGTTCTTTGGCTAACATCCGGGAGTCTCAGGTCTTTTGTCAGCATTCATGAAATACTAACAGGATAGTTTATTTTTTGTCAGGTAAAATCCAAAACCCTTCACAATTTGATACATATATGTGAAATATTTTTTCTGAGAGTACAATTTTGCTTATTCTGCAAAAGTTCCTGAAGACATGCATTAATGTAACATTTATTGAGGGCACTGTGCTTGGTATAGGTGATATAGAAATGAATATGACAATGTAGGGGCACATTCTTCAGTAGGAAAGGCAGTCAGCCTTAATTGCTCTCACATTCCAGTCCAGTTCATTAGCAAGTCCTATGGACTCTACCTTCACAATATATATACAACATTGGGTCATCTTAACCACTGTTTCTGTAAATCCCTGAAATCACTTCCTAACTGGTTTCCCTGCTTCTGCCCTTGCACCATTTTGAGCACTAGACTCACTGGGAAATTGAAGAAATACTGATGTCCAGGCCCCAACCCAAATGAAATACCATATTTTGTTGTATATAACATGCACCCACATTTTTGGCCCAAACTTTCAGGGAAAAAAATCTTCCATTTTAATTTATAAATTCAATTATTTATTTATACTTAGAAACAAAACTGAATTATCATATTCCAGGGTATTATTTTGCATACAGATATCATTATTGCTTTCTAGAGTTACACTTTTAATGCATAAGCATAAATAGAAGAATAAAAAACATTTATATAGATATGGAATTAGCACTACTCATATAAAATGCATATCCTTCCCCCTCAAAAATTTGGGCAAAAAAGTGCACATTACACATGGCAAAATATGGTAATTCAATATTCCTAGAGGTGTTGGTACTTTTAAAAGCTTCCCAGCTCATTCTAATGTATAACTAAGAGTGATATCCACTGCTGTTGACAATGACGATAGATATGACGGGTTTTAAGCACACTGTGACTTGTACAGCTACATGTTGTGGTCCTAGTTAAAAGTTTTCAGAATACTTCAGCAAAGATGTGCAAAATACATTGAAAAGGTAAGATCAGGGGCAGATGAACACTTACCTGGCTACAAAATAATCTAAACAAGAGCTGATTAAAAGCCAGAAGTAAGTAGTGGCAGTGGGGACAGAGAAGAATGAACTGGAACACACAGGAGGTAAAATCAATAGGATGAAAAATAACTACTGGTGAAGAAGAGTGGCTTCTTGCCTCCCAAAGTTATGGTGACTTAAAAAAGAGGTTTAGGGGGTGAGGACAATTCAGCTTTAATTTAAACCACTTAAAGTACCTGTGAGATGATTCCAGGTGATTACTGACTATATGTTCTGAAACTTGGGAAAGATCTGGGTGGAAGGCCAACATTGAAGGGTGTAGTACATCCTTTGCTGAGTTATTTTCATTTAAAGATTTGAATTTCAGAAACTATAGGAGAAACAAACTTTCAATGCTCTAATCAAAACACATAATTTTACAAATTGTAGGTACATACTTTTTGTGCTTTGAATTTTCATTTAACATTCATGGGAAGAACTCAGCTAAGTGCTGGAGCAATGGGTTCCAATCCTTAAGCTGTCACCATACATATATGTATACGACCTCAGGCAAGACACTTCGGCATCATGAGCATCACTTTCCCTGCCCAGAGGACTATTGCTTACAAGCTTACATGCGTGTTTATATATATCACCACAGGGCACAGGCTTGCCATTTTTAATAGCTATTAAAGTTCTAGGACAGGGGTGTCAAACTCATTTTCACCGGGGACCACATCAGCCTTGAGGTTGCCTTCAAAGGGCTGAATGTAATTTTAGGACTGTATAAATGTAACTACTCCTTAACTAGGAGCAAGGAGCTGGGTGCTGCTGCCAGGTAGAAACAAGGTGCCAGTCCAGATAAAACAAGGTGGAGGGCTGGATTGGGCCTGCGGGCCTTGTGTTTGCCACCTGTGTTCTAGGGGTTAATAAGCATAGTGAAATATAGAGCCATGAAGAAAATAACAGAAATAAGAGGACTAAGCAGACCACATTTGCAGGCACATATGCAAGTGAATTGGTACTGGAAGGTACAAAGAATGAAATCTAATGGCCTCCAAGTTTTAAAGACCAACTAGAAGTTTAGCCAAAAAACCCTCCTAGTATTTTGATTTGCATAAAAGATTCTCAAATTTAGATCAGAAACCTGCTTAAGGAGTGTGATGGGAAAGAAGTGTGATTAGCTTGTAACAGTAAATTATTAAGACATGTAACAGTTAAAGCACAGCGTAATAGGTCTCATACATTTAGTACTGCTCTTCACTTAACCTGCTCGCCAGATCAACTGATGATCTTCCTCCTCTGTAAAATTTTGTAATGGCCTCAGCCCGGACCTTTTGTAGTTAAGTTTGCTGCTTTCTGGTCACTTAACACTTTTAGTCTCTCCTATTTAGTTGAACATTTAACAAGACTTAATCGTTGGCTCCTAAAAGTTTCTCCCAATATGTAATTATCTCTCATTACATAATTAGGTATTAAATAAGTAGGGCTGTCTTTATGAAAACTAAGTTGAATGGTTGAAAAGTCTCCAAGGTTACTTGCTAATCACACCCCAGTAGCAATGAGCATGCTTAGTGCCCAGATATTGGTTTCTAAACAGATGCCTATTAAGAAGAGCCAGGAATGCCTGAAGAAATGGCTGTCTGAGGCACTGAAAGTGCAAGGTGAACCTGAGGTGCCTTAAAGTGCCTTCTGTCAGAAGGCAATTAAGTGCCCAAAGACTGCAGAGGGAAAGTTGAAGGACATAACTACCTGAAGGGTTAACTGCCAAAGTCGGGATGACTTGAGCATCAGAAACAATGATCATAATTTATCATAATACACTGAATCATTTGTCATCACTGCCAACTCCTTATTCTGACAACTCATAATTTAAAGAATTGAGCCTGATCCTGCCAAGTGTATTGCCATTGATGGAGAGACGCTTTTTTACAGAAGCATGCAGTCAATAAATGTAGAATGATAGAATTAGAAAATCAAATCTGGAGAAGATAATTGATTCAGACAAGAATGATTATCTGTGGATACCAAAACCACCAGGTGAATGTTGTGGGTAAACAGGCTCCCCATATGCTGCCAAGGTCTCGGTCAGATTCCCTAACTACAACAGAAAAACACACCTTTGCGTTGGGAAGAGAGGGTAGTGACCACCTCAGTAGAGTGATCTAATTATGCACTGCTGACAGTGAGCCAACTAGGTAAAATTTTTGATATAATGCAATATAACATACATCTGTGAAGTGTTAATGTTAAAATGTGTAATCTGAATACTTCAAGACTTTGGCCCTAATTGCTAATTTACAGAAACTACAGGAACAAGATAAATTAACCACTGATCTGTTAACTGATTTGAAAGACAAACTGCAATCAGTTAAATCCTGAATGTGAGATAGTCCACAACTGAGCTGCTCTATTTAAAACAAAAAAACTCTGGGGAAAAAATCAAAGTTGGGAGACTGTTTTAGATAGATGAAACAGACATAACAATCAAGTGAAGTGTGGAATTTGACTGGATTAACAGGAAACATTTAAACATGGGCTAAGCACTAGATATTAGGGAATTACTATTCATTTTTTGAGGTATATAAAGGTATTGATTGTGGTTATGTAAAAAGACTCATTTTTTATGAGATGAATGCTTACGGGTGAAATATCATGTCTTTGCTTTCCCATTGTTCAGGAAAATATGGCAAAATGTGAATTTTCAAATCTAAGTGGCAAATATATTTTTTATTCTTTAACTTTCTTTATATTTGAGCAGCATAATAAAAAGCAGAAAATAAAAAACTTGAATTATACTTGGGCCAGACATCTGTAAAAGTGGAAAAATTACACAGAGGTCTAGGATTCTTCACTACTATTATTGTATTATTCTATAAGAGCATCAATTGCTTCAGTGTATCAGTGGAAGACCTTATAAATGCATTATTTACATAAAACACATAAAAGCAGTAAATACAAATTAATGCAAAGAAAGATAATATGGACTATACTACTCCACGCATCCATTCCAAGAAGAAAAAGTGTTGTGTAAGGTATGAAGTTCCATCTTAAGTACAATGGTTATTTTTTAAACTAGTAACTATGGCATAGGCATAAGCATAATTTGAGTATAATGCAACCTAGGACAATCTGTACTTTGTGAAGGGTGATTCCATGACATCAACATTAATGAAGGTGAGGACAAGGCAAAGCAACAGCTTCTTGAAGAAAACACTCAACAAGAAAGCTTTCAAGGTATCTTTCCTTCAGCACCTCTTTGTAGAATGTTTATTAAAGTCACGTCCAAATGAAGCCACAAGGTCAACATGTTTAAACTGATATTTTTGGTGTCAGAATTTATATAGATTTTTCCTCTTCTAGCTCAAGAAAATTTTCTGTACAAAGATGTCCCATGATTTCTTAGGAATATCCTCACTGTTAATATCTGGGGATTCTGTTTTTTCATTAAGTAGTTCCAATGAACTAATCAATGACCAGTATTTGGTAAATATTTCTTTGCAAGTATGTACATAATATTCTACCAATTTCACTCCATTTCAGTTAATTCTACCTTATTACTCAATTTATTTATTCACTAATTCAACATATATTGACCACCTGCTATATACGCAAGGCACTGAAGAAACAAGAGTGATATGAAAACTCAGCTCTTGGAATATGGTCTTATATTCTGAAAGTGGAATGCTGTGGACATTAAATGCAATAGTATTTTTACCTATTTCTAGTTGCATTTCTGCCAGTTTTCCTTTTATGCTGTTTAGGACTATGACAGACTCAGTCATTACTGTTCAATGATTACTGCACCAATGACAGTTTCTGCATCTATGCTTTTTCCAATGAAATTTTCTTCTAATATTTTAAGACTGTACCCTATTTTACTTATCTGTAGAAAGGAAAATTGACTGCAATTATTCCTTTAAAAATCAAACATTTCATTTTTGGTTTCTTCTTACAGAAACAGGATGAATTTTGCTTTGTATTCCATCAGTTGCTCTTATTTATTTTTAGATAAACCAAGTCCAGTAACATTTCATGTTATAAGTTACCTATGTATTCTTTCCTCTCTTCACTTTTTCTTCCCTGACCCATTTTCTGCACTGAAATCGTATCTATTTTCCATTACTTTTTTCTCACACTACTTAAATAATTTTATTACTCCTTACCTTAGGATCTACAGGGTCAAATTTGGCAACCCATTTTAGGTTTTGTATACTCATTCATTCACAATACACTTGTTAACTCATGACCTTACTTTCATTATGTCCTAATCTTTCATTAATGTAGAAAGCTTTTATAGCACTACAGGAAGCCCAGAAAGGATCATTTAGGGAGTTTGGGCCCTGAGCACAGTAGGCACTCAAGAAATGTTTTTCAATGGAAGAAATGGATTTTCTACAGTAAAACAGTATTGGGAACCTTAAGGTATACATTTTGGTGTCAGGTGAAAAGAATGAAAACTGTATCCTTATTTTTTCCTACAGGATGACAGATGTCAAAACCTAGCGAAACTAATACAATAAAAAGTAATAAAAATATAATAAAAATAAATAAATAAATAATAGGAAAGAACCTAGTGAAACTAAGACTGTTCTAAAAATTAATTTAAGGGTGGGTGTTTAATTTTTGCACATTTCACTAAATTTGTACATGTTTAAGGGTTATATACACATTAGTTTCTCTATCCAAACATCATCTTTCATTAAGGTTCTCTTCCTTGAGTATTTCAGTATTTAAAACAAAGTATAATTAAACAGTGGCCACACAGAAACCTTTAAGATACTTTCAATTTTTCTCAAACCTACTAGCTCCACATGGCAGTTATGGCATAATATGAAAAGGAGGTGAAATGGAGGTGAAAAGGGGGAGGAACCCTTTACATATTTAAGGCTTCAAAGCTGGGAAGAAGTAAAAGCCCAAAAGCAGCTTTTCTATTTCCCCAGGATCACTCTCTACTTGATGGAAGCTTTCACAAGTTACATTCATAAGGCCTCATGGAGTACTTGAAATACAGTAAGAGTTGGTGAGTTACAGGTTTCTGAGTACTCTTTTCACAGGGTTTCTTTCTGGAATAAACCAAATAAAGGTTAAACAGTGAATGTTCTCAAATTTCACATTAAATTTAAATGAGTTATATCCACATTATGAATTTGGATACTTCTGCTCAGTGGTATCTGACATATAGGCATATTGCACTTCTTCTGAATAATGTGTTAACACTCAGTGAGTATAGAATAAAATTTAAATGATTAAGTTGTAACATCTAATGGTCTTGCACATCCATTAATTACGATGTTTGGCACCTGTATGAACACGTTGATGCTGAATAAGGTTTGTACTCTGAGTGAAAGTTTTACCACAGATACGGCATGCATAGGGCTTCTCTCCTGTGTGAATTCTCTGGTGTTGAATAAGGCATGTTCTCTGGCTAAAATCTTTATCACATTCATTACATTTATAAGGTCTTTCTCCAGTATGAGTTCTCTGATGCTGATTAAGTGATGAGGAATAAATAAAAGCTTTCCCACATTCATTACATTTATAGGGTTTCTCTCCAGTATGAATCCTTTGATGTTGAGTAAGATTTGCACCCTGTCTATATGCTTTCCCACATATATTACATTTAAAGGGTTTTTCTCCATTATGAATCCTCTGATGTTGAGTAAGGTGTACACTCTGGCTGAACGCTTTTCCACACACACTGCATTTATATGGTTTCTCACCAGTATGTGTTCTATGATGTTGAGTAAGATTTGCACTTTGGCTGAAGGCTTTCCCACATATTTTACATATGTAGGATTTCTCTCCAGTGTGAGTAGTCTGATGTTGAATAAGAGTTGAGGAATGAGCAAAGGCTTTTCCACATTCATTACATTTATAACATTTCTCTCCAGAATGAATTCTCTGATGTCGAATAAGGTATGTACTCTGACTAAATACCTTCCAACACTCATTGCATTTATATGGTTTCTTTCCAGTATGTATTTTTTGATGTTGAAGAAGGTGTGTACTCTGACTGAAAGTCTTCCCACACTCGTTGCATATATAAGGTTTTTCTCCAGTATGAACTCTCTGGTGATTAATCAGTGATGAACTGTGGCTGAAGGTTTTACCACATTCCAAGCATTTATATGGTTTCTCTCCAGTATGTGTCCTTTGATGTATAGTAAGGTGTGCACGCTGACTAAAGTCTTTCCCGCAGTCATCACACTTATATGGTTTCTCTCCTGTATGAATTCTCTGATGTATAGTAAGGTGTGCTCGCTGGCTGAAGGCTTTACCACACTGGTGGCATTCATATGGTTTTTCTCCAGTATGCATTCTCTGATGCGCAATAAGGGATGAGAGGTGCCTGAACTCTTTTCCACACTCTTCACATTCATAAGACTTCTCTTTGGTATGGGTACTTTGGTGTTTCATGAGGGATGGGTATTTCCTAAACTTTTTCCCACACACATTACATTTATAAGGCTTCTCTCCAGGATAAATTTTCCTATGTACAATACCATATGAGACATGATTGAGGGTTGCCCTGCCTTCGTTATATATAGAAGTTTTATGATCTGACTCAGTATCAAACTGTATTATTAGGTTTGAATGCTTTTCAAAATGATTCCCATGTACACCATATTTACTAAGATACTCTTCTGTAGGATCATATTCTTGTGAAAAAACTGACTTCAAACTGAAATTACTTTCTTCAGTGGGGATTTTCCTGAAGGTATCTGGTACGTGCCTCTCCAATCTGTCACCATAGTCATATGGTTCTTCCAGTTTGATGGTCTGGGTTCCATCTGTTGTGAATTTAGGAATGTTTTTAACTGGATTACAATCTTGGGCTTCTGTTTCCTGTCCTGAAATAAAAATGATATAAAAAGTTTTCTCTATTTGTAGAAAAGAAATTACCAAAATATAAACAAAATAATGAATATGAATAAAATGCTTAAAAAGCTATGATTCTGACAACCTCATAATAAGGCCTTTAAAGCTTGGAAAAGGAGAATAAAAAGGAAGAAAACCAGAAGACTAAATTGGAAAAAGGAGAGGCTTCTTGCTATCCAACATGGGCACAGACTAAATAAAATAGTTTAGTTAGGTGACAGAGTTAACACTGTGTAGGATAACTTGGGATGACTTCAATTGTGTAATTATTTATAATTATATAACACTTAAATGATATGTTCAAAGTAGGCATGCTATCATCACTCCTTCCAATCTACTCTGCACAATCCTACCTAATGTTACAAAAGTAATTTCATGGAGTGCTCTTCATGCTTAAATATGTCTAGTAAGTCTCCTATAGCCTGAAACAATGGTTCTCAAAAGTGTAGACCCCAGACTACTGACGTAAGTATCACTATCACTTGGAGCACGGTAAATTATTGCACTTCACCCAGACATACTGAGTCAGAAACTTTGAAAATGAGGCCAAGCAATCTGTTTTTTAGCAAGCGCTCCAGGTTGTTTTGATGTGCAAAAAGTTTGAGGATCAGCTGCATGAAGGATAAAAGTTAAAGAGAGAGAAAAAAAGTTCAAAATATCTCCAACTTGGCATTCCATCCCCAAAATATTTAAGCCTAGTTATTCACATAACTTAAAACTACTTCCTCATAATCTTCTACAAGTGCCATGCTAATTCAAAACTCTAGGCCTTCTCTTATGCTACCTTCCCCATCTATTAAAAAAGCTCATATTCTCTCCTTTTTAGAATCCTAAGTACAGGTTGAGCTGAATCATATAAAATTGTTTTTTTATAAGTCAACATGGTGGAATATCAGCAGTTCCATATGGTTCAACCTAATAAATGATGGGGCCATGACAGAAGTTGGCCTTTACATAATTATTTCACAATTTTGTGTGTTTCTTATATTTCTAACCTAGGTGCAAACTTTGGAACCTATTTATGCTTCTTTTACATTTCCTTCATAAAATGGCCCAAGACTAGATATGGTGGCCACTCAACTGAACTGGTAAAATAAGACAGTAACTTGTTGTAAAAAGAGGGACTCAAATGAAAGCAAACACACACATAAACACACATCGAACAAACAAAAAATTGTGACCCCAAACCTGCCTGCAGAGCAGTCAAATATATACAGGCACACCTTGGAGATATTGTGGGTTCAGTTCCAGACTACTGCAATAAAATGAGTATCACAATGAAGTGAGTCACATGAATTTTTTTGTTTCTCAGTGCATATAAAAGTTATATTTATATTCTACTATAGACCATTACGTGTGAAATATATAATATCTAAAAAATGTACATAGCTTACTTAAAAAACACTTTATTGCTAAAAAAAATGCTAAGCGTCATCTGAGCCTTCAGCAAGTTGTGATCTTTTTGCTGGTGGAAGGTACCTTTAATTTGTGAAAATGCAGTATCTGCAAAGCTCAATAAAGTAAAGCACAAAAGTGAGGTATGCCTGTATTTTTTGATGCTTATTATGTTTCCATTATGATAGTTTAAATTTAAGTTAGAGTAACTTTCTCCTTTGATAGTAGGTGGGACACATATAACTTGCAAATATTAAGAATTATTTAAGGAAATGTAATTAAATATGAAGTTTATAATACAGCAAAAATGATACAGCAACTTTCTAAGATGCAGACCAAAGTATAATAACCACAAATATAATCATTCAATAGAATCATCCATCAATAAAGGAGTATCTAGGATAGAGAATAATGGAATACTGATAACTGATAAAAATTATAGGTAGATCTATGTACATTGATATGAAAAGGTGTACAGGACATATTAGTAAGTGAAAAAAAGAGGTATGTAACAGTATGTAGAGCAAGAACCTGTATAAAGATATGCTAAATGTCTTATAGACACACACATATACACATTAGATGCACATACACATATTACACACTGTAGTGATAACCTAAGGGGAGAAGTCATGGGTATGGGGAGGGAGGCACGTATTTCATTTCGCTTACTTGTACGGCTTGTATTTACAAACTACTTTATTACTTTGATTTAAATTTAAAAAATCAGAATAACACTACAAAATGCTTAAAATAATGTTAAATGAAATAAGCAATATCACAACTAGCATGAAAATTCATTTGAACTAGACAAATATCAAAATGCTAACAATGAGATTATAGGTTTAAAAATATTTTCTAATATTCGATAAATTGGCTATGACCTTTATGGCTGTTTAATGTAGTTATATTACTTTTATAGAAAAAAATAAAAACAACTTTTTCAAACCAGACTTGTTACTACCCCCCCCAACAAAAAAAGAAAATGAGGATGTTAATGGACTGTGTAGGTATATGTATGTGTGTGAGAGCTACACTCACACACACAGTAAGATAATATCAGAAGTGGAGTTTAATTTCTATGTAATCAGAATTAGTCTATGACAGAATTTCATATACGTGAAAAGGTTATAATTACCAAGCTTAAAGTCACAAGTCTAAATAATGACCATGAAGAAACTGCTACTATAAAACATACATTTTTAAATCAATTAGTTTATTGGAAATTCAGAAATTGAGATAATTAAGTAGGGCTTAAATATGTGTATATAACTAACCAGAGAGGACTGGTTAGAAGCAGTAACTATTTGTTGGTCAATATGGCCAAACAAGGGTATAGTTCTGATAGAAGAAGATCAGTGTCGAGTCAGGTAATGAAGGACAGCTTTGTGGGTGGAGGGAGGTATGGTTAGAAGTGAACCTTAAAGGTCAAAGTTCTGAGACAGGAATGGCCATCAAAGACTAATCAATATTCCTACTCTACTAACGAGTTACCAGTTTCCATTTCCTGAAATAAGACTGATGCATCCCAACCGGAGGTTCAACTTACTAGGTATTGCTGAGATGATAAAAAGCAAAATCTTCAGAGGCCAAAAATCAAGTAAAATCAAGAAGACAGGAAATCAGCCAGAGCTCAAGTTGGCTGCTTGTGACAGCTGCTGAATCCTGTTGATGACCTTAAGCTTCCACCTTGAGGGCACAAGGAGCTCAGGAACCAGAAGAAAAAGCCCAGGGTCTAACCAATGAGGGAAGACTGACAGGAGTCTACTATATACTCTATATAAGGACAGGCTAGAAAACAAACAAAACTGAGAAAACCTCACCTCTACAATAAAAAAAAGAAATGTGCCTTTTTCAGTGTTAGTGCTCTTTGGCAAGAGAAAAATTTACCCTCAAAATATGTGACCAAAAACTACTCCCTCTGGTAGATTCATAGCCCTAATTCATGCTACCTGAACAATCTAAAAGACTCCTCATGCTGACAAGTCAACCTGAAATGCTTTCAGACTGGCAGCACTGCTCAGAAGTCTACCCTGACTCTAGTCCAGGTGTATTTCCATTACACCATGCATGTTTTCTCATTGTTTAGAGGGTGCTGAAAACATTCCCCAAAGAACTTAGTATGTTACAGGTGTATTTTGTGTCATTCTGCTGACCAAGGCAAATAAAACCATAAATTATGAGTTTTTCAATTGGTGTGACCCTTAAAGTACTCCATGACCAGATAAAGTTAAAAAAGGGATAAAGTTTAAATCAGATAGTTTAAAAAAGTGAAGGAAGTCATTTTAAGGTAGTTACTCTAATGTCATAGTCTGTCACTATTGTTTAGTTTACTGTTAATGCTGTATTCTAGCATCAATATTGGCAGACATACTAGAAGTCAGTGCCTTAAAAAGTAGAAAAGCAAAATGCAAAAGAATATAGTGCACTTCTTTTGTATACAAAAGGAGGTATGACTGTGTTTATGATTTCTGCAAAGAGAAACACAGAAAAGAAAATCAGTAACAAATGAACACGGTTAACTACATGGAGTGAATGGAAACAGAGCAGAAGAGATGAGAGTGTACACCTTTCTAAATAGTTTTGACTTTTGAACCATATTAATGTTTTTATATACTCAAAAATGTGCAGTTTAATAAAACAGAATCATAAGCTAAGAAAACACTAAAACTGGGCACAAAATCAAACAAACTTAACAATATATGTTAAGATAACCACAAGAAAGAATTCAACTCACTTTTGAACCTAGTATTCTGGATAGCCCTAGTAGAATAGAACAAAAAAGGGAATCTGAAGGAACGTGGAACCTAGCTAGTTTGTTATTGGTACTGATATTGACATAATTCTCAAACAATTTCTGTGTGTATTATATGATACAGCAAATGGATCAATATACTGATGTTGTTGGGAACCAGGTTATTACATGGGAAAGATAAAATGGAGTATGGGAAAAGTTAGCAGTATAAATTCATGAGTCCTGAAACTACATACATAATACATATGTACATATATGTGGATTGGCAGAAGTAGATTTACAGTTGTTCATATGGAAAAAGACATGTAGGTTATGATTATTATAATAGCTTTATCAACTCAAGAATGTCACGATGGCACAGTACACTTAGGTATAATCTCCTAAGTGCTCAAATTGTCAGCCTTCATTTTTATACCTTCTTATATTCTACTTGCTCTACTCAAGCACACTTTGGCATGCCTTTTTCCATTTGAATAACTGTAAACCTTCTTTTGCCCATGCCTGTTATTTCCCAGCTCTATCTACAGAACAGATTTAGAAGCAATGCTACCCCATAGTAGTGAGCATATTTAGTGCCTAGATCCTAGTTTCTAAGTACTATTTCTCCATTAAAATGAACCTCGGTTCCTTAGACAAATTCCAGGTCCAAGGAATGCTCAAGGTGAACCTAAAGAATATCTTGTGCCAGAAAGCAAGGAAATAAACGCTCAACTCAAAGACTACTGGGGACATCTTGAGAACACTGGACCTGGTTTCAAAAGCTCCTGCTGAGGTACTCCAAGGCAATGTTAGAAGATCCAGAACCCATTTGCTTTCATGGAC